CCCCCCCCCCCTCCCCAAAAAAAAAGATTGTTTTTTAAATTTTTTTCCCGCATATTTTTATATCGGATTTATAAAAATGCAAAATTCATGGGAATATCCCAAGAATCGAATAGTGTTCGACATAGTAATGGGGATCATCAACTCAATGAGAAGAAAGAAACATTAAAAAAAAAAAAAATCGATGAGGAGGCAGAGCGTGAGCCAATTTCCTTGTACGCACGCATATATATATATATATATAAATATATATATATATATATATATATATATATTTATTTGATTCGGACACAACGTGCAAGCGGTGTGCTGCAAATGAGCAATTGAAATCGAACCGGACACGTAAATCAAACCTAACCGAATTTTAACCCAACATGCGCCCCTCGCGCCCAACTCTATGAACCCTTCCTTCTCCACGTAACCTAATGTTTATAAAATATATTATATGATATTATTATATAAATTCAAGACTGCCTCTAGATAGTTGTGTGATAATAAGAATTTTCTAATTTCAGTTATTTTTGTAGTTGATTTTTTTTTTAATTTTGAAAATATTATATCGTATTTGTATTTGGGTTCATTTGTTTTTTAGAGTTGATTTAATATCATTATATTTAATGACTATACATACATTCTTGAATATCCAGAACCGAATTTCTAACCCATATTGCCAACTGTCAAAGAGAGCGTATCTCATTTGTCTGTCATCTGTAGAATCACAGACCCGTCACTGTATCACTACCAATATTCTCAATTGATTTTTCTCTGCCAATATTTCCGTTTTTTTTCCGTCCGAATTTCCGCTTTTATACACTCCCTTCGCCCAAACCGGAAGAACTGTTTGCTCTTCGACAGATAGCAAACCCATCAGCGGGCCCACAAACAGACATGCCGCCATGGAAATCGCTCTCCCTCTCCCGGAGAAGACGAAGATCGTCACCGGAGGATCCGAATGGCCAGACCCAACCCGAAAACGACTACCCAAACGAGCCCGAGAATCTCGCGGGCTCGCCGTCGTGGTCGTCCCTTCTCCCGGAACTCCTCGGCGAGATCGTGCGGCGCGTGGAGGAGAGCGAGGACCGGTGGCCGCAGCGACGCAGCGTTGTGGCTTGTGCCGGGGTCTGTAAAAGATGGCGGAAGGCGACGAAAGAGATCGTTGAGTCTTCTTCAGGAGTTGGTGATTTTGATGATTATGATGATAATGGCGGAGAAATCACTTTCCCCTCTTGCCTGAAACTGGTAAGCTTTTTCATTTGTCCTTTTCCTGAAATTGGAAATCCTTCCCTTTTCGGGTTTTTTCGATCGTTTCGTAAAATGGGTTCGGACTATTTCATCTGGAACCCATGGATTTGTGATCGATTTTTACGTTTATTCAAGAAACCACAGGCTCAGTGGTAACGGAGTAATCTAACGTTTGAATTTGGCATCTCAAAGGGTTAAGCTTGTCAACAATTTTAATATTTTTTGGCTTCCCCAGTTTATTATTAGTCATCTGTCAAATTGAAACCCCCTGATTTTGTTTGGATTTCTCATCATCTTCCAACAGGATCATAAGCTGTTCTATCTAAATGTTTAGCGAGAAAAGTTTAGTTTTTGCATTTCTTGTGTAGAAACTGTAATAAGCCCTTCTCGCTCCGGGTTCAGGTGTTTCTATGGTGAGTTGTAGTTGTCATTGCAGGAGTAGTGGTGCCAAACTTTAGGGTTCTGTTTATGTAGGAAGACTTGTTAGGGTTCTTGAAGGTAAATTGCCTAACTGGAAGTAATTGTATGCCATGGTGCTGAAGGAATCCAAGTGCCTTGTAATTCTGGAACGTTTAACAGTTCCTGGCTTCGTATATCTGTTAGAGGTGTTTCTTTATGCGTTTGTTTATTCGACAAAGGGAAAAGATTTATCATGTAGACATGCTACCATTATTATCCAAGAGACTCCAAGAGAAAGATAATGTGTCATGCATGTGAATATTTATGAGAAGAAGGAACTGGTGGCTGGTATAGTGTATTTGGTGCTTATGGGTTTCCTGTGATGTTTCCGTAGGCGGGTCCACGCAATTTTCCGAATCAATGTCTCATAAGGAGGGATAGGAAGACATCAACGTTTTACCTCTACCTTGCTCTTGCACAATGTGAGTGATCAAAAGCATGTTGTTGTTGTTGTTCTCTCTCTGTTGCTGTTTCTTCTCTTTCCATGGTTCAAATGCAGAAAAGGAAAGGACATGAAGGCAACCACTATGACTTTGTCAATGTTTTGTTTCGGTTGGGATCTTTAAAATTCGCCGGCAATTGTGACTGTGTCAAACTCTTGACATTTGCAATATGAATGGAATTATAGTGATGGAGAAATAGCTGTTTTGGTCAAAAACTTTGACTTTTTGATTTAGTGAGATACACTAGACAGTTAGTTACTAGCATGTGTATACTTTGGATTCTTGCCCTTTCACTGATGGAGAAATAGCTTTCCATAAATCAATAGACTTCAAGGATTTAGAATTTATGATGTAAAGGAAAATGTCCTTGGAAAAAATCGACAATATCAGTATGTATCTACTATCTAGTCACATATAAGTTATATAACTTCTGTATTCGAGGCAGTTGCTGTGTTTGCTCTTCAGTCCTTGACATTGTATAGTTCTAAATCGTGCTCTATCTTTGTTTTAAGATCATCAATCCACCCTCCCGGCTCATGCTGTATAGATGGAATGAAGAAAATTTCTAGTACCTGGTCTTTCTTGAATGTATTGGCTCCGCTAGCTACTGTGTTTTAGAAAATATAAGCTGAGTACTTCAATATATTTCCAAAATTTGATTCTTATTATTCTTGCTAATCTTCCCTTTCCTCATTTCCTCTATGTCAGCATTCACCGATAGGGGGAAGTTTCTTCTCGCTGCGCATAGACATAGACGTGGTCTATACATAGATTACATAATCTCAAGTGATGCCGAAGATCTATCTCAACAAAGCAATTCGTATCTCGGGAAAATCAGGTAGATTCGGTTACTTGTATTGTTTCAGTGAAATGCCCATGTTGTAATGATATTTGATCAAAGCATCAAACATGGCTGGATCTCCGAAATGACTTCCCCCTGATTTCTTTCCACCTTGTCTAGATCGGATTTGTTTGGAACCGACTTCAAGATCTATGACAGCCAATCTCCCCACGAAGATGCAAAGCCTTCCAGCTGCAGAGCTAGCCGAAGATGCACAAGTAGACAAGTAAACCCTCAAGTTTCAGCAGCAGCAGCAGCAGCCAATTTCGAGGTGGGAAGAGTTTCTTACAAGTTCAACCTCTTCAAAACAAGAAGTCCAAGAAGAATGGTCTGTTCAGTAAAATGCCCGTCTTCTCGAGAAAACCCTAACTATCTGGAAGCTTCTGAGGCAGATAAGAAGCCCGAGTTTGCGGTTTTGAAGAACAAAGTTCCGAGGTGGCATGAGCAGCTCCAATGCTGGTGCTTGAACTTTCACGGCCGCGTCACTGTTGCCTCGGTGAAAAACTTCCAGCTGGTGGCATCAATGGCTCCGACCCAACAGCGAGGAGGCGCGAAGTCAGGCTGGGACAACGTCGTGTTGCAGTTTGGAAAGGTCGGAGATGATATATTCACAATGGACTATATGCAGCCATTGTCGGCCTTTCAAGCCTTTGCCATCTGCCTCACCAGCTTCGGCACCAAGTTGGCATGCGAGTAAGAAAATTAATTTTCTTCTCTTCTCTGCGTAAATTTTGGTGTTTCATATGTATCTATCCATTCCATATACATGCGTACATGTTCGTTTTATTGCCAGACTTGTTTGCTGTTCTTTGATCAGATATATATTGGTATATATACACATGTTGAATGTATTTACCCACTGCAGTTGCAGATGCTCTCTCTCTCTAAATTTCGATTTTCGAGTCAGTAAAAATCTCGTTCAAATAATTTTACAATTACCCCTTTTAATCGTTATTCCTTAAACTTGCAATCTTTTTGCTTCTGGGGTTTGTGTTTATGCATTTGCTTCAACTTACATGGCATCAAAGAAAGAAAAGAACAAGACAAGATGGAATGCAGCTAAAACTAATAAACCAGACCGAAGTGAGCCATCAACAGCCAGACGAAATCCACGAGCTCGCCCCCTCGGCTAAGCTGCTCGAGACGGGCCTTAGCATCGGAATGCAAAGCCGCAAAGGAAAGAAACTCCGACCAAACTTGGCTCAGTACCCTCCATTTGTTTTCTCCATTGGTATGTATCTTCAGTTCTTTGGCTATCAAACTCGCCTCGACCAATACTCCCTCGTCTCCCATGGAAGCGATCTTGTCGCTGGTCAGCTTCACTTCTGTCGGATTCTCACGGATGAACTCGTCGGCTTCCGCCAATGCTTCCTTGAATGTGATCGTTCCAAGGCCCGCGACCTCTGACATCAGCTCGGGCTTAAAGATCATTAGATACATCATATATCCTGAGATCTTTCTGCTGAATTCACGTTCAGCGATATTCTCTTCAGTCGGCTCTTCTTCTTGGTAGAGAATCTCTGTGGCAATGTGCCATAGCAGAAGACTCTTGTCAAAGTCGACGTTTTCCACATAATGCGTCAATGTCTCTGATCTGATCCCACGCAATGCCCACTCTCCCCTCGATGATGATATTTTCTTGGCATCTTCGAGGGTTTCAGCGAGACGGGACTTGCGTTTCAGCAGCTCAAATACGTCGCTCCACAGCGTTTTCGTCAAGGGTTCACTCGACATAGCTCTTTGCAATCTCATCTCGTGGAGCAGATCCTCGATGTTGAGGACGTCAATTATGTAGCGGTAAAGAGATCTGAGAAGTTCATCTATGTCTGAGAAGATCTTCATGGAACAACGATTAGTGACATCGCTGATACATCTTCGAACTCTTGTCCAGATGATACTGGTGAGACGCTTGACATAACATCCGGTTCTGTCCTCGACCTTGTGAACCCTTTTCTCGTCTGCTTTCAGACAGAAGTGGGTGAAGTTGAACGTGTATATTTTTCCAGCCCATCTTCCGAGTAGAAATGGTATTGTCAGTGCCTCATCATGGATTTCACGGCTGTCGCCTTTGCTGGATATCTGTTTCTTCCACTGTGGCCGCTTGAAACCGAGGATCCAATTGAGTATAGCGTCTTTTCTCGATGGGTTAACCTCGGGTTTGCCTTTCAGTTTGCTCAGGACAACGAATGTCCAGTCAGAGAGCAGGAGCATGAACGTGGATGCGAGATCAAGAGCTATTCCGACCAAGAACAACGTGTAGGTAACGACAATAGCGGCTCCCTGAAACTCTCGGCTCTTCTGGTGACTGTAATGAAATTTCTGGAAGGCCCAGAGAAGAGATCCCGAGGCTATGACCCGAAAGAGAATCCCTATCTTGCTGTGAAGAACGGCAGCTTTTGAGTACAGGGCATGATAGATAAAGCAGAGCTCTGCTTCTATAACCATCAGAGCTTCTTCTGGAGTCGTTTTTTCGAAGAACTTCTTGCTCACTTCGAGATCGCCGAAGCTGAAGACGAGATTGGATACGAGACTGTTGAAGTGGTTGAAGAACTCGTAAGCATACTGCACGATCTCGAGATCGGTCAGGTATCTTTCTGGCTTTACCATCTTTAGAGGATTCTTGCTTTTCCTGAACAACCACATCAAGATTCCGGGAAGAGTTGTCGGCAAACTTTCTTCAAAAGCCTCCTCGATATCGTCCTTGCTCAAGTTCCGGGCCTTGATCACCGCGTGGCTAAACTTTCCCGAGCTCGCGAGGTTCAACGCGATGGTCCTCTCGAGATATTTTAGGACACCAGCAATGAACAAGAACAGTGTCGGAAGCCAGAGATGGTTGGGAAGAGACTGAAGTACTGCAAAGACAGCTGCAAGTAGCTGGAAGACGAGGCCTAACAAGTGTCTGGTCCAGAGGACGTTATCTTCGAGGGAGAGGGCGGTAATGGTGTCTGGTCCGCCGAGGTGTAAGATCAAGAACGGCGACCACATGGCCATAAGCTTCTTTTCCTGACGAGATTCGTTCGGTTTCGGATCTTTCCACAGGTTCTTGGAGATCAAACCGGCGGCGAAACTCGGCGACCAATCGGCCAGGAGGTAAGACGACCACAAAACCAGAGTCAGAAGCTTCGACCATTTGCGTTTCCTTAATGGAGCGAAGAAGATGAGAAATGTCTGAAGGGACAGACTCAGAATCAACAGTCCCTTGATGTTCCATCTCTCCCAAGCATCTTTGATATGTTTTGGTAACACTTCCACCATCTTCCTCCTCCTCTGTTTCTGCTTTGTGTATCAGAAGCTCTTCATATCCTATTACTGAAGCCAAAATCTTTCTTAATTGATTATGATAAATCATATAACCATGTGCTCACCTGCACTGCTTTGTTAATGGAGCATAAGATATCACCATCGATTTATCTTTCCCATACGCTTATTATTTGTTTGCCCTTTTTCCTAGGATAAAAATTGACCGACGTATTGTATTTTCTTTAATCCATGAACAGTATAGTCTTTCTTTAATACTTATGAAAATAAATCATTTGTCCCATGTGTCATCATAATAGAAATGGACCGATTTTTCACGACATAACGTTTGACCATATTTTTGATTTATTATCGAAATTAAGGGCGCGATGAGAGAGAAGCCAATGGAAATATTTGCAGAGTTGGCAATAGCAGAGGGGGGAAAAAAAACTAAATTACTTGTCACATGGGTAACCTCTACAAGAAAATAAGTTAATTACAAGTTACAAACATATTAATTAGACAACAAATATTAACCTTTATTTTTTCTTTAAAAAAACACGACTGGATCAAACCTCCGAGGTTTCTGATTCAGTTTGTGTTTGCTTTCTTGAATCCTTTTTTTTTTTTTGTTCACACACTGGTTTCAATTTCTCTACAAAAGAAGAGAGATGGTGGAGGCGATTCCGAAGACAGTGAAAGATCTGTGGGAGAAATGGAACATCCGAGGATTAGTGATATTAAGCCTTACCCTCCAATCGATCCTCGTGTTCTTGGCGCCGTGCAGAAAACGTACGGACACTAAGCTCTTCGTCGTCCTCGTCTGGTTAGCTTACCTCCTCGCCGACTGGTCTGCAGCTTACGCCGTCGGACAAATCTCGGACATCAAAGGGGACGATAAAGATTCCGCCAGCACTGAGCCTGAGCTCTTAGCCTTTTGGGCCCCGTTCCTCCTCTTTCACCTCGGCGGTCCCGATTCCATCACTGCACTTGCTCTGGAGGACAACGAGCTATGGCGAAGGCACTTGTTCGGTTTCTTAAGCCAAGCTACTGCCACTCTCTACGTGTTTCTACTGTCCATACCCAACAGGCTTTATGGCTCCGACAGCGCTCATGCTTGTGGCTGGGGCCATCAAGTTTGTCGAGAGGACAATGGCGTTATACAAGGCGAGTTCTGGCAAGTTCAAAGGTTCTATCCTGCGAAAACATGTGAAGCTGAGGAAGAAAGATAAGGGCATTCCGGGGCAGATAATCACGATCGAGGAAGAAGATACAGTTCATGTTCCTGTCATACCAGATAGGGAGCTGACGGAACTTGAAGTTGTACACTATGCTTACAAGTTCTTCTGTATCTCCAAGCGTCTTGTTGCTGACATCAGGTTTACTTCTCAACAGTTGGATCAAAGCAGGAGATTTTTCGGCTCTTTGGGTGCGGAGGAAGCTTTGAGGATTTTGGAAGTCGAGCTCTGTTTCATGTATGACTCTTTGTTCACAAAAGCAGACATTCTGCATTCCCGAGCAGGAACACTTTTCCGATGCATAGCCCTCGGATCTCTCATCTCGTCTCTCTGCATATTCGCGACGAAGAACAAGGATAGATACGACAGATTCGATGTCATCCTCACTTATGCATTGCTCATAGGTGGAATACTTCTCGACTCCTTTGCCGTTCTCACGTTCTGTGTCTCGGATCGGACGTTTGCTCTATCGAGGAAGATGAAGGAGAAGCCGGATGAAGAAGAAACCTGGGTAGACAAACGTGTAAACCAGCTCCTCGGTTTCAGGAAGCCGAAGTGGAAGAAATGCAGATGCTTAGAAGAAGATTTGCATCAAGTGATGGATAGAAGATTTATATTTCGAAGATGGTCCGAGTACGTGCATGGATACAACCTGATTTCATTCTGCTTAGGAGTACGTCCGAGGAGAATCCACCATTCGGACAGTTGCTTACGAAAGATAATCGGCTTCATCGCAACCCGTCCCCTCGTTCTTCCCATCCGAGTAATCTTCTCGTGTTTCACGGCCATGGAAGGAGGCACTGTCACTCAAAAAACATTCTGCTGCCTCTTGAATGACAGCGTCCCCTCTCTACTAATCTGTTTACTGATTCCTCTGTGGCTTCTTTACATCTTCTGCTCGTTGATTTTCGATATTTTCGTGTATTGGATCGATCACCTACTAGAGTTCTTCGGCCTCAAAGATCAGATGGTGGAGATACTATTCAAATCCAGCAACCGACTCACCGATGACCTGTGGGTGTTCATACACGGAGAGGTGAAGCGTAAATCCCGAATAGCTTTGCAACAGCACTGCGGAAAGGCGATATCTTCGGCCAGAGGCGAGTGGACTCTCCGTGAATGTCGAAACGTAGACTGGTCGGGACTTCTGCAGTATGTGACCAAAGTGGATTACGGACAAAGCATCGTGCTGTGGCACGTCGCCACCGAGCTCGTCTACCGAAACGAGACGGCCTCGGAGACCGATTACCGCGCCAGGGAGTTCAGCAAAACGCTCTCGGACTACATGGTGTACCTCCTGATGATGCGGCCGACCCTCATGTCGGAAGTTTCGGGAACCGGCATGTTGAAATTCGCAAGGACGTGTTCAGTGGCGAGGAAGTTCTTCAAGAAGAGCATCAATGGAGGCGGAAACGAGAGAAGGGCATGCGAAGCTCTACTGTCTAACAAGAGGAACATGATGATCTTCTTTCTGGTGAACGACGAGAGCACGTTGGACGATGCCTGCCATTTAGGGGAGGAGCTTCGAAGGATGAAGAGGAGAGGGGAAGATATATGGGGGACAGTGAGCAGAGTTTGGGTCGAGATTCTCTGTTATGCGGCGAATCACTGTGATCCTAAGCAGCATGCTGCTCAGCTCAGCAATGGCGGCGAACTTGTCGGTTTCGTCTGGCTTTTGATGGCCCATTTCGGCATTGGCAAGTGAAATCTTCTGCATCTCCTTGCCCGAAACATCTGGTCTTTTTTTCCCCCTCCGTACAAGCTGATAATCTCCTATTGCATTTAAACGTTTCATATCATTTTTCACCCTTGGTCACGCTTTTTTTTTTTTTCTGTTACCAATTCCGTGTTTTTTTTATAAAGTGTGTGTATATATCATTACAATTTGGTGGATGTTTTAAAAAATATTATAGATAAATAGATAGTGGCCTTGCCCATCATCATGAGCACGCAGAAAAATTATCTTACAGTTTCTTATAAATCATAATATTCAGCGTATACATCGAAAAATTTAACAATTTCAATATGTCAGTACAGTTTTAGGATTATTTATATATTAAATCCTAATTTACATTATGTATATACATTTATCACCGGAAAAGTTGTGTTAATTCCGCCCAAAACTGAAATTCATTGGAGAGTGTATCCAGGTAAAAAATCTATATTGCCGATAACAAGGTACAGTTCTAATTCGTGTATGAAATTTAATCTGGCTAGTTACAATTTATATTTCATAAAATAAATGCTTATATGTCATAATTTTTAATCATGAACATTTTCGTTAAACAAGAACCCCACGTGTTAGTAACGGTAGGCAAATGCCCCTTGAGTTTGAATAGTCAAACCTTTGACCGAATGCTGTGATCCACGTTTTCACGAATCTGGCTACCACTATATCCCCGAGCGGATGCAAGTTGTACGAAACAATGCAGATTAAGGTTACAAAACAACGTGCGACCCGGGATATGATATTTGAAATATAACCCAAAGTTTTTATGCAAAAAGCGTAACCAGATAAGTTCAATAGTTGTCACAATCCCTATATATATGGCCAAGTATCGATCGCTCTCGATGCATCCCATCAAAAAATGAAGATTCATACTTACTGGTACGCCTTGTTTGCGTGGTTTCTCTTCGTATCCTCCGTTAATATCGTACTGGCTCAAGCCAAAGTTCCACCATCGGAGCAGTTCCAATACGTAAACGAAGGAGAATTCGACACGGAAGACCCGGCCGAGTACGGAGCTGACACCCGGTGCTTACCGTTCGCAAGGCCTTTCGCGCTATGCTTCTACAACGTTACTCCGAACGAGTTCACACTCGCTATACGCATGGGAACTCACGATGTCGATTTCATACTCCGTCGTTGGGTCTGGGAAGCCAACGTGGGGAACCCCGTCAAGGACAATGCCACGCTGACGTTCCGACAGGACGGTAACCTTGTCCTAGCCCACGTGGACGGTCGCGTCGCCTGGCAAACTGGTACGGCCAACAAGGGCGTTGTCGGGTTTAGAATCCTCGACAACGGTAACATGGTTTTGTACGACTCAAAGGGGAAATACGTCTGGCAAAGTTTCGATTCTCCTAGGAATACTCTTTTGGTTGGTCAGTCTCTCAGGCCAAAGACCGGTCCTTACAAACTCGTCAGCCGGTCTCTCTCTTCGCCCGACGGTAATGGACCTTACACCCTTATTTTGGAGCCGAAACGGCTAGTCTTGCAATACACGGCACCGAACCTGGATAAGCCGGTCGTGTATTACGTGATAGAAAATACGTTCGAGCCATACGCGACGCTTTTCGCTAAACCGGCCGAGGGGACATCGACACAGCTGGGACTGGTCACGCCCGGAACCAACCCGATAGAGTACGATTTCGACCGGCCGAAATACAACGCAACGCTGAGCTTTCTGCGTCTCGAGTCGAATGGAAACCTCGTGGTTTACACGTACTATGATCAGGTTACGTACGAAGCAGAGGACGTTACGTACGCTCTATTCAACCGTGAGCTCAATAACAACGAGTGCTTGCTACCCGAGAGGTGCGGAGAATTCGGGCTCTGTCAGGACAGCCAGTGCGTGGCCTGCCCGTCGGACAAAGGGCTGTTGGGTTGGAGCTCGAAATGTAAGTACGAGAAGCCGAAAAGCTGTGACCCGAAGACATTCCATTACTACAAGCTCGAAGGAGTTGACCACTTCATGACCAAGTACACGAGCGGCAGTGTCGTGAAGGTGGAGGAATGTGGGAGAAGGTGCACCAGAGACTGCAAGTGTTTGGGTTACTTTTACAACAAGGAAAGCTCCAAGTGTTGGATCGCTTACGATCTCAAAACCCTAGCCAGCGTGTTGGTCTACGACTCGGAAACCCCAGAGAGAGTCCCGGACTTGACCCGCGTGGCGTACATCAAGACTCCTAACGTCTAAAAAAGTGTTATAAGATTTCGTTTTTAGTGTTTCACATAAATATATATATATATAATGTTATAAAATGTTGTATTAATTAATGCTAAGTGTATGAATACTTTGGGATCTTAAATGATAATTAAATAAAACTTTTCTCCGGTTAAGCAAATGGATTAGTGGGAGTTACAGCTTAGGCTTGGGCTCAAGGCCTAGGTAAATATTCATAATTTGTTTGTATATATATATATATGATTGAAGATAATTTATAACCAAAAATAATATTTAACATTTTAACAAAAAAAATATTTAACACACATAAATATATTTCGAAAGTATGGCAATAAGAAACTAGCTGGCTTTAGATATTAATGTTTTTTTATATTGTACAGCTAGTTGGTTAACTTTAAAAAAAAATTGTAACATGCAAGAAAATAAAATTTTAATTTGCTTTTTTATTTTTTTTATAAACTGTATATTTTTAAAATACCAAAGTTGAATTTAATCATTAATTCGCCATGACATTTTCTTTTATAAAATTCTGATGGAAAGTAATATTTTTTTACATCATTAATATTCTCTGAAAATTCGATAATATTTTGAAATTTCCAAATAATTGATGTATTTATATAATTTAAAGTTCAATATTTTGAAAGTTTATGTGAAGTGTAAAAAAACTGCATTTGTTTTGTTATCGAATCGATTATTCCTTTTATGTATTGATAATAATTTAATCCTTTAAAACAGTTGGATGTGTTCATGAAAGTGAAACGGTGATGCTATGTGGATAATAATAATTTTGTTTTCTATATGGATAAAGATGATGGTGCTTACGTGGCACTTTCGCAAGTGGCAACAAAGGGCAACTTGGTCTTTTAATTACGCAATTAGTTTGGCGGTATTTAACGTTAACTATGAAAATCTGTTTAATGAAAAGATAATTAGGAAAGCCAAACGCTATAACTATGAAAATCTGCATGCTTAGTAGATCGATAGTTTTATCATTAACGATTTTAAATTAATATAAAACACGTACCAATGAAAATCATGATCTCCGTATCCAAATCACGTGAACAGATATAATTAACCTCCAATTTTATTCGGATTTATCTCGTTATTACCAACCCCATGCAAGAGAAATTAACAAGCGGAAATATAATTAAACGAAATTAGCAAATACAAAAAGGCCTCCTTTATTCGCCACCCTTCGGCCTCAGTTATTTACCATTTGGAGCCTTGACGTAAGCGACCTGAGAAGCATCTCCGCTCTTAGTCAGTGTCTTGAGCTCATAACCCAACCAGCATTTCGAGCTTTTCCGGTTATAGAAGAAACCCATACACTTGCAGTCCTTCGTACATTTGTCTCCACAGCCATTCTCCGTCGCCGTGGAACCGCCGTTGTATTTGGTCATGAAATGGTCTACGCCTTCCAGCTTGAAGTAATGGAACGTCTTCGGGTCACAGCTCGTCAGTTTTGGCGGCCGACAAGTCTCGTCCCAACCGGTGAGTCCCTTGTCCGTAGGGCAGGCGTTGCACTGGCTCTTCCTGCACAGACCGAAGTCACCGCACCACGTGGCCAGCCGACAGTCATCGTTCCCGTCGAAGTCGTCCCTTGTGAACGCAGTGTACGTCACGTCCCACGCCGTCGCGGTCGCGGCCGTGCTGTAACTGTAGACTCTGACGTTCCCGTCCGATTCGAGGCGGATGAAACTCAGCGTCGCGTTGTGTTTAGGCCGTGAGAGAAAAGCGGACGCGTTGAATTGTGAGCCCTGGATCTTCCCCTCGAACGACATACCGTAGGTTGTGTCGAAGGCATCTTCCTTGACTTTGAACGTCATGGACTCGAACCGGGTGTTGATCTTGGTGAAGAATTCGTACTCGTAATAAGCGATTGGTTTCTGGGTCATGTTCGTCGTGT